CCGCGCACGGCCGCTAATGTGACTAACAACTTTTTTGCTAATGTGGGCAAAAGTCTAGCAGAAAAAATCCAGGGTCAAGGTCCTCCTCAACAAAATACCCCAAAGAAATGCGCACCCATAGCATCTTTTGTGATGTTCGACACTGACGAGACTGAGGTACAAAATATTATTATGACTCTGAAGGACGATAGCGCTGCTGGCTGGGATGATATCTCTAGTAAAATTATTAAGCAGTTTAGAAATATTCTAACTCCTCCTTTGACTTATATTTTTCGACTGTGTTTATCTTCGGCATATTCCCGGCATGTCTCAAAAAATCAGTCATAGTTCCAGTACATAAATCAGGCAGTAAATCCCAAGTAACAAACTATAGACCTATCTCACTACTGCCTTCTATGTCTAAAATATTAGAGAAGCTAGTAAATAATAGACTGCTTAAATACCTGGAGGACAGGTCAATTCTATCAGAACACCAATATGGATTTAGACCTAAAATTTCAACAGCAGACGCAGTACACTACGTGACTAACTACATAACGCAAGAACTTGATAAGGGTAAACATACTTTGGGAGTCTTCCTGGATTTGGCCAAGGCTTTTGACACAATTTCTATTCCTGTGTTGTTGCATAAGCTGGAGATCATAGGTATAAGAGGAATGCAGCTTAAATTCTTTCAAAGTTATCTAGAAGACCGCAGTCAGTGTGTAAGAATCGGTAAAGTACTCAGCGATGACGTTAAAAACACCCCCTACGGTATCCCGCAGGGGAGCATATTATCGTCTACATTGTTTCTAATTTACATAAATGACCTATGCAATCTTAAGCTGGAACACGGCACAATCGTGTCATACGCTGACGACACCGCTCTACTTTTTTTCTGCTGACTCGATAACTGAGGTCTACAGACTTGCGCAGCACGGATTTAATAATGTAAATAATTGGCTTCGGTGTAACTCACTAACATTAAATACAGATAAGACACACTTCATCAAATTTGCTATTCGGAAGGAAAACCCAGTATCTACATTAGCCTTGTATGCCCATTACTGTAACATTCCTGACCAATGTATGTGCCCTTTTATCAATCAGAGTAGTAATGTAAAATATTTGGGTGTAATATTAGATGAAACTCTTTCTTTTAAACGGCATCTGAGCGTTTTAAACAGTAGATTGCGTAAGCTCATATTTGTGTTCAAAAAGCTGCGTTATATTGCTGACCCAAAAATAATCAGACAGGTATATTTCTCCTTGTGCCAATCAATATTGACTTACTGTATTACCTCTTGGGGTGGTACGGATAAGACTCTACTGCTTTCCACTGAAAGAGCCCAAAGAGCGATTCTCAAGGTGTCTACTGGCCGATCTTTTCTTTACCCTACTAACCTTCTATATAGTTCTTGTAAAGTACTAACAGTCCGCCAGCTTTTTATTATGAGCACTGTACTAAAACAGCATGCGGCTTTTCCATACAATCCTGAGATAACCAAAAAAAGGCGAAGAGATATTGTTTGCTCAACCAAAAGTACAAAGCACGCTTTTATTACCAAATTTTTTGTATTTCTTGGACCACTCCTATACAATAGACTAAATGCAACCTTATGGATTTACCCCCATAGCATCCGTAACTGTAAGAAAATTCTAAAGGAAGCCCTTCAAGACATGTCCTATGAAGACACAGAGAAGTTATTATTAGTTCCTAAATAATACTTAACGTAAGCTCCTAATCTCTAATTTATATACTACATACATACTCTTATATACATATTAAGCATAGAATTTAAGTATTACTTTATATCAGTATGCATAACTAAATATTGTCATAATTTACCTTAGCTTATAAGCATTTAAGTACTAGTGATTATATAACAATGTCTATTACTATTACCTAACCTCGCCTGAAACACAGGATGTCCTAGTTCAGGCACCTTATATTGTGAACTTTATATAGCTTTAAGCAATACTGTACATTTCTAGACTATTATGTTTGAAAATAAATTTTTATTTTTATTTTTTTTTTATTTTTACCTACAGATTGTTTCTGAAATTGTCATTATAAGTATAGTAAATAAGTTAATATAGTATGTTAAGTCACCTACTAATATTAGTACATTAGGCGTAATTTAAAGTAGAATAGGCCTGAACAAATTGTCTCTAAACAATTCAATATCTGTTTTCCCAAATTTATAAACTATTCATTGATTTAATAATCTTCCATCCACCACTTCTTCATTCTCTCCTTCTTAAAAACCAATTGCAATTTAAAAGAATATGACAATATAAAACACAATCTCCATTTGTTACCCTCAAATCACAAGAATCGCAAAAAAACTTTTTCAAACAATTAACGAACAAATCAATTTCATCTCGCAAAATAATTTGCTACCGAGATCAAGTTAGACAAATTAATAAAGTTAAAAAAATAAAAACGTGTCCCGTCGTTCACATTCCATCTCCGTTCAGACGGCATATTAAACTATACTATCCAGTACAAATTGATCTCTGGAGATACAAAAACAGAATATCAAACGAGGTCAGCTTATATTGAAAAGGTATAAGTTGATCTACTGTCGTATGTATGGAGTGAAGTTGAGAAAAAAAATATTCGGAACTTGTAACGAAGTTACTGAGACAGCTGACTTTTGTTGGCAAAGTTTTCCTTTGGTTTGAGATATTATGTTCGTATTTCATTGAAAGATGGAGTGCAAAGAGTACTTTGATGTCATCAGTCTTGTGATAAACTCAGTTGAGACTTTAGAGTGTATAACAAAGATGGAAGAATGGAAAGTAGTCATTATTAGTCAAAGGAGATTGTATAACTGTTTTTTATAAAAGGAACGATGTAGTTGAACTTGTCTCGCCTGCGATACAGAATTGTCTTAGTGCACTAACTATGTCCGATTAATTGTACGTACTTAAGTATATATTTTTGTATTTTGCATTTTTGTTATTATGAATAAAGTTTTATTTATTTTCTTATTTGGTTTTTTACATGTACATTTCTATATGATTCTACTATTTTGGAACTATTATAAAGATTTATTTATGTTTTAAAACATTTGTACCAATGAACGCCTGGAGCCAGCAGTCCAGCATCCAACGACAAACATTGAACATGGGTTAACCATACAGAAGAATGATTAAAATGAAACACGAGTTAATCACATTTCCATTAAAAACATACCTAAAATGACAAAATTCCCAAATCGTTTTAATAAAGAAGCATATTTTAATTCACAAATGAAAAACTAGGTAAATGAGGTAAAAAGAAAATAGGTCGTACTTCGATCCTATACTTGGAAACCAGTAAACGTTTCTAAACATTAAATTATACATACATTTAGCTGGAAATGTACTACACGGTCTTTAGCAAAATAATAATAAGCAATTTTCTATACATACTACACACATACAACGACATTTCTCTTTTTAAAATAAAATTTTGTATAGGACATCATTGACGATGTGCCAAGCACATGTTACAGCATTACAATTTATCAAATGACGTCTGCAGTAAACTTTTGACTCTATAAGCAAACAAAAAGGTTGAAAATCGCCAGAAACATTTGAACCCGTAAGTTTGAAAGTTAACGGTAACTTTAATAAACACGACCTTGACCATATTCAGTCTAGTTTCACACACAGCTTGGTATTATAAATCTCCCCCTTTCTTCTTTTATACATCCCTGTTTAACGTATCACTTATCCTTCTGGTCTCAGCGATTTATTCTTATTATTATTAGACTATATTTGTATGATCTCTTGCTTGATCACACATTACTTTAGATGATGTTAGGTAGAATAGAATAAAAGATGGTAAATGTATCTAAAATGTTGTATTGTTCCAAATTTAAAGGTAAATGAGGTAATGAACTGATGTGTGTGAACTGAGTGACACGTGGTCTTTGCTGGCCGTAATGAGAACGCCCAACTTGATGGTTCGACGCGAACTAACTATATATTATTGTAAAATGAAATGAATGTGAGGCGTAAATGCCGATGCTATACGATGTGCGGTTGCACCGTACAATATTCTTATTATTATTATTATTACTTATATACTTACTATCAAATTTTTAAAACTATTTATTAAAAAAATTTTGAACAACTTTTTTTTTTCCTAAATAACGTTACACTAATATGAGTAACAGAAAATCCATTTTTTCTAGAAAATACCTTAAATAGTTATAAATAAAGTACAGGTTTCGTTGACAATAAGCCCGTAAGGTTCATACAGAGGTTTATTTGGGTCATATGGTATTTGTATGGACTAAGAGGGTCGGCTACTTGTACAATTTATATACCATTTAAGGATAAGAATATTTTATTTCTGGATAACATACATAGTTGGCAAAATATATTTGTATTGTGCAAAACACGCACCTCAACCGGTCATATTTTTAGTATATTACGAACTTTATTGTTTTCTAATAAGGCTGAAAATCTGTTAAGGAAATGTGATAGGCCAGTTTAAATTGATTTTCTGTCTGATTTCTAATATCGATCTCAGGTTCGATTTCTGAGTCGAGCAACGTGCTAATGAGTTTTTAAAAAAAATCTCAGGTAATCTTAGTAACACGGAGTCTGGAATCATGCCCGGTATATGGCAATAGATTCACCCCCTATTACTTGGGACTCATAATTTATATTTATGTACATTACCTCTACCTACCCCTCCGAGGATAAAAGGCGTGATGTTATGTTATGCTATTAACTACATTATAGACCTTATTTCCAATGTTTAGAGACTACTTTTGTATGAACAAATTTAGGGGATGAATTTCAACGGGCTAATCAATAAAATTAAAAATTTATTTATAAATAAGGCAGTGAACATACTATTTAAACCTTCTTTTTCTCTTGTTCCAGATATGTGAGAGCGGCTCACGATGGCATTCCTCCAAGTGGCACGGAGGGTACCCACCGAGCTGGACAACTTCCTTATAAAGGTCGACACCAAGACCTGAGGATGAACAAGCACCGGTGGAGCCAACTTCTATAAAATGGAGTTCGCCTCTGTTTTACCTACTAATGTGAGTTTACATAATACTACACCTCTTCGTCCCCGAGGAGATTGTAATCCCAAGGTCATTAAACAAAGTCTTATTTAACAAGGCAAATGTATAAAAATAACCATTTTATTAATCGCCTAGATATCTTTCAGTTCTACCTCAGATCTAACAGAACAGTATAGGGTTATAAAGTCATCCAGATTTTATGCCCAAGTGTAACAATAAAGTCTGCGATTAAAGATCTAACAAGCACGGCTCGGGTACGTCTCTAACCCAGCAATGTCATTATCATTTAAATATGAACTGTAAATCGTATGTCTTATGACATATTTCATTACATCAATATAGGAAAGCTGAAAGCCAGCCGCCCGCGCGCCATTTTGTATAGTTTTGGAAGCAAAACACAACGTATCTAAGCTGTGCTTGAGCCGTGCCGGTGCCGTGCTTGTTGAGTGTGAGATGACCTTAAATTATGAAAATCACCTGTCGCTTCAGAAAACTCCTAAGTTTTTATATCTAGAAGCGACAGATAGGTACGCCTACGTGATATTAGATATCAGATCGATCTAACTACCTATATGAACACTTTTTTTTTAAGCGGGGAACCTATATGAACACTGCAACTTTTGTAAAACTAGTAAAATACGTGCAAAGACTACATTTTGTGGACATTTTACGACGGCGTAGTCAGCGTAGCCGACGTAGCACACTGATTGCTACGGCGTAGCATCTTTAGTTTGTAGCGTGAAACTGTGAACAAATTTATGATTTTATATTGTGGTAGGTATATCACTCATTGCAATTTTTGTTTATATTTTTAAAGGGGGATTTAATATGAGATTGCCTCCGCTATTTAGCAAAAGATTTACCACTTTAAGACTTAGATTGAAAAGTTGTACCTATCTGTCGCTACTACAAATAAATGGTGTAGTTTTATGCATAAATTATCTATTAAAATGTTTACCCTGTGGTTATAATAACAACGAGTATAAGCCGTACAAACACATAATTACACCACTAAGACGTCAACGTCACCAAACATCCGACAAGACTAAAACTATCAAAACTTAAATAACAACTTACATAATTTTGATTATTAATACCCACCACAATCCTATTTTAATCACGTTATGCCATATAATAGATACACTTAAAGTTCATTTTCCATTGGCATATCGCTTTACTAATCCAGTTATGAGTTAACTGAAATCTTCAAACTAAACTAAAGTTATTTAAGTTTAATAACATTCGATATTGGCTTCGCAACATGTGGTTAAATTGCTTGCTTAAACTGTGAAGGAGTTACGGTACAATCTTAAGTACTTTACGATTATTATTGTAACATCATGCCTTTTATCCCCGAAGGAGTAGCTAGAGGTGCACATTACGGCAATTAATGCCACTGTACAATGTAACCCCCACTTTTCACTATTGCCATATACCGGGCATAATTCCAGACTCCGTGCTACTACTGAGATTTCTTTTAAAAACCCAGTAATACTTTGCCCGACCTTGGAATCGAACCCTTGTCCCCTTGACTGGCAGTCTCACTTGCGACCACTCGGCCAACGAGGCAGTTTATTACATAATTTATAATTTTAATAGCCACTCTATCAACAATAACAAAATAAAAATTATAATCGTATTAAAACTGACTTCTTTTATGAATGGATGGTAAAATAATGAGTCGACCACATTATAATAATATTTTGGAGCAAAAAGATGAAACTTTTCATTACAAGTGTCACTGAATGAGTCTGCAATTGATAATGGCTTTAAGTGAATATAAATAAGTGCAAAATGTTGGTTTATTTTATGTTATAATAAAAATCTCTTATTGACTCATCGGATTTTGTGGAAAATATAAACCGGTCGACAAAGTAGTATACTTTTATCATCACCCTTCAGTTCACGCGGTCTTAAGATCCGTGTATGGGATTATACATCAAGATTAAATAAGATGAAATGGAGATTACACACCTGTGATATTCGAAATGCCTGCTAAATGCAAAGTCTCTGGCAAACCTCTCTTGATAAAAGACTGTCACGGGATAATGATGATGACAATTATGTTGAAATTGCACTAAATGAATTTAAACACCACTTTTTTTGTGGGATAAACGAGCTGGTAAACGAGCAAATAGATCACCTGATGGTAAGCCATCGGCGTCACCCATGAACACCTGAAACACTAGAGGCGTTACAAGTGCGTTACCGGCCTTTTGGAGATTAGGAATTTGACGGCTGTCGGGTATTCAGGGATTAGGGACATTGGGAGACTGGAAAAATGAAGGAAAACTTTTTTACTAGCCATAATATTATATGGTAGTTTTTAAATTGCTTATCGCGTGGTAATATATCTGTTCATAAGAACACATAAGTTAGTTAAAATGTTGTTTAACACAAAATGTTAGAAGACGTACCTACAAAACTATGTATACCAATACCAATACAAAACCAATACCAACTCAATAAACCTACATCCCATCGTCTCCAATATTTTCATTTGAATAATTCATATGTTGTCCGTAGGTGGCGCTTCAGTTCAACGAGACGACGGTGGAATATGACGATGGAGATGACCCGGACGCTGTCACGTTGCTGTCCATATTGCTTGTCGGTTAGTACTCAAATGTAGTGCCTAAAACCTAATACCTGCCTGATAGTTCTACATAATATGAGTATGTGTCTGTGTGGTGATGGAAGTGTATTGACGTTTTGTACCGTGGTAACGTATTTGGCTTAATATTATACGCTAATCTCGTAAAAAAGTATTTTGAATTTTAGAATTAACTGAATATAGATCACGACGAAGACAATCCTGAGATCATGAAGAAGACGCCGTACAATTGCAGCTGAACAGATTAAAAGCTGCCCTACAGGGACAAAACAATTTTAAATCCTATGTTCCATAGTTAATAGGTCGAAACGTAGCCAATTTTAATAGTCCTTACAGCTTTGAAATATGTTGCTTTCGTTGTAATTACATAGATTTATAACTAGAATTCAAATGATTCACTCATTTGTCTCACACATCATCTTTCAAGGATCTTTCTACCTAATAACTATGGAACATAGGATTTAAAATTGTTTTGTCCCTGTAGGACAGCTTTTTATCTGTTCACCTGCAATTGTACGGCGTCTTCTTCATGATCTCAGGATTGTCTTCGTCGTGATCTTTATTCAGTCAATTCTAAAATTCAAAATACTTTTTTTATGGGATTAGCCGGTAAACGAGCGGATCACCTGATAGTAAGCAATCGGCGTCGCCCGTGGACACCTGAAACACCAGAGGCGTTACAAGTGCGTTACCCGCCGTTTAGGAATTGGAAATTTAAGGATTGTGGGGGATACGGGGATTTGGAAGACTGGAAAAAGGGTAATTGGGCCTCCAGTAACCTCACTCACACGACGAAATACAACTTAAGAGTGGTTTCACGTCGGTTTTCTGTGAGGGCGTGGTATGACTACGGTCGAGCCGGACCAAACGTGCCGAAGCATGACTTTGCCATAATTGAAACAATTTACCACAATATATTTTTCTAACCAATAACATGTCAAAATCATCAGTGAATACAAAAACACCTATATCAACAAGGTAAGTTAAGAAGTTTGCCGCAGGTTTCTTCATATACTTGATATTATTACATTACGCCTGTTTTTCCCCGACTGAGCACTCAGCGAGACGTGTCTCAGATCACTGAACAAATAATTCTTATAGAATTTACAAGTTCATTATAAATACTTTTCATGCTATCTGACTGACTTCGAAAAAGCTCAGACAATGTTAAGACTGAGATGTATTGTGACTCACAGAACTTTTCATTTAGAAATCTCTTTGCAATTGCAATACTCGACCATCAAGCAAGAAGTCTTGAGTTCTATTATAATTATCGAACTATGCTTAAATCTTAGTGGTTATTTATTTCAACTTATTCAAAATTATCTTTGTAACATGAAGCATAACATCACGCCTTTTATCCCCGAAGGGGTAGGCAGAGGTGCACGTCATGGCACCTAATGCCACTGTACAATGCAACACCCACTACTCACTATTTATGTTATGAGTCCCATGTAATAGTGGGTGAGCCTATTGCCATATACCGGGCACATTTTCGGACTCCGTGCTACTACTGAGATTTTTAAAAAACCCAGTAATACTTTGCTCGACCCGGGAATCGAACCCGACACCCCTTGCCCGGGGTACCTTTGTAATCTAATTGTATCATGTATAAATGTAAAAAAAATTGTATCGAACCTTTGTAAAACGAAGTTTGAAAATATATCCAGTATGTTTGTGGTAATGGACTCATATCCTGCTTAATAAAACTTGACTGACTGTAAATCCATACATATAGTCAATTTTTCACTGATCTTCTTTGAAAACTAGTATAGAATAACAATACTCCAAAAAATTCTGATCAATCTTCAATAGCATGTCACCCTCGATTACCGAAATATTAAATAAGGGTACCAAGATATGACTGTATTGCCACTAAAGGCGTTTCAGTTATGACGCACGTAGGAATCTTATTTCCATATTGAGTCAAGCTTGAATATAGTTTACTGATCGCTTATCATTTCAAGGAGGTTATGAGAAGCGAGAAAATCTCTCCCTGCGGTTCGATATTATTGAATTATTTATGCAACCCTTATCTGCTGGGGTCTATTTCGAAATTCTCTGTAATAGCAATGATTCTGGAAGATTTTGGAGATTTTGTTACTTCTCGAATATGGGACTTAGAACTGGTACAAAATAAGTGTTACAATTTTGACGAACCTTTTTATATATCAACAGAGGTATAAATACTAATAAAACAATATAGACAGTACATTAAATAGTGCTGAAGTAGTTTTTATCAGAGAAAAAATTAAAGTTAAAAATCTCAACAAGAGGATACTACGAATATACGAGCCACGCTGCAGCACTAACGGGCCGGCTCGACCGGAGTGATACCACGGCCTTGCGTTATCTTTTGTCGTGTGGGTGAGGTTACCGGAGGCCCAATTACCCACCTCCCTAGTCTAGTGTCCATGGGCGGCGCCGATTGCTTAACATCAGGTGATCCATCTGCTCGTTTAACGGCTTACGCTATAACAAAAAATGAATAAGTTTTTATAGCTTTCCGCCAAAGCGCTTTCGTCATGCTATGGAATTTGAAATATTGCCCTTAAATATATCTCGCTCCCGTAGGATAATCCAGTTAAAAAAGTAATCTACGTCATACAATTCCAAAGACTCCACCTCATTTCCCTATAAACAGAATCTACTTCGTAAGTCAAAACGAAAATGAAGGGAAATTATATAACATATACACTATCTTCACACAGAGGTTCTATCTGATAGACCGTGCAAATACTTCCCTACTTCCATGTTATTTCGCGCCTCGTTCAGCGCTAAGCGGTTCAATTTCCTGAAACTAACAAACTGCTGCAGGTAGCGTATCGCGTTGATCTTCGTAAGTGTGGGGACGTGTCAACGATACTTACTTACTGGATTGTGAGCTAGGATTCTGGTTTAAGTTTCTAAAGATTTAACTTTAATATAGTTAACGTTTTAATGCTTAATGAAACATAAGAAAACACATAACATAACATCACGCCTTTTATACACTGTGGGGTAGGCAGAGGTGCACATTACGGCACTTAATGCCACTGTTCAATGTAACACCCTCTTTTCACTATTTATATTATGAGTCCCATATAATAGAGGTTGAGCCTATTGCCATATACCGGGCACATTTCCAGACTCCGTACTACTACTGAGTTTTTTACAAACCCAGTAATACTTTGCCCGACCCGGGATTCGAACCCGTGACCCCTTATCCCATGTCAGCAGTACATAAGAAAACATTAATCTTATTCAATTCATATGCTATACCTGGAAGACCGAACCGAGATAATTTTCTGACAATCAATCTTAGCTAAATCCTAAGTAACACTCAATTTTTTTTGTTATATTTGGTTTCTGAGATCGTTTATATATATAAACAAGAATTGCTCCTTTAAAAGGATTAGATTATATTTTCTACTTAATAATGTTGCATTCACAAAAGACAGACATATAAAATCATATCTATAAAATGTTGTCTTATAACATTGCAAAATAAGTTCTAAAACTATGACAATAAGAGTCAAAAGTTAAACCAGCAATATTTAACTTGACTCAAAAGTTGGTAAAATAGTAGCTTATTAAACTAGCAGATTCATTTCTTGACGATACTTGGTTTCTTACGCTTATGAAGTTTTAAGAAACTTTTAACAAGAGTTATTGTAAGACTTTCTATACGTCTCTTATTAACTTTTGAAACATAATTATGTATGAACATTTTGTTACTTTATATGTAGAAGATTCTTGTACCAAAAGATTTAACCCGTTGTATGTCGTATGCCGTGGTGCATCGTGGTGGCCTGGAAGGTTGAAGACACCCACTTTTCATGCATGAGGGTTCGAAACCTACCAACGGCAAGTACCAATGTGACTTTTTCCGAGTTATATGTACTTTCTAAGATTATTCAGACACCACTGATCAACGGTGAAGGAAAACATCGTGAGGAAACCTGGGCTGGCCTAAAAATGTTTGTTATATATATGTTTTTATAGAGGTATTAAACACAGCTGTGTTGTGCACGGTACTGGACAAAATCGTAAAAGTTCTTAAACTATGTGGTTTTTCAGTCACTAAACACAATTTTATCAACTAGTACCACCTTGTTATGTACTAAATACCACAATTCCTTGTCCACAGGTATATTCCTATCGCTGCTAATATTCCTAAGTGTAGCTGGGAACATATTGGTCTGCATCGCTATCTACACGGACCGAGGTTTGCGACGCATCGGCAACCTGTTCCTCGCATCGTTAGCTATCGCTGACATGCTGGTAGCAGCCGCTGTCATGACATTTGCTGGAGTAAATGATTTGCTAGGGTAAGTTAAAATTTATTTTATAACTGATTTGGCAATAAACGACTATTATCTCAATGTCTTTATGACACCATAACATAATATCACGCCTTTTTATCCCCGAAGGGGTAGGCATAGGTTTACATTACGGCACTTTATGCCACTGTACAATGTAACACCCACTTCTCACGATTTATGTTATGAGTCCTATGTGATAGGGAGTGAGCCTATTGTCACCACGCGTCTTGTTGAATGTATCAATAAAAAATTTGAAAAGAAAACTTTAAAATTTTGGTTGTAATCTCCACTCCATGCTCCACTATCTTGCTGCTGAGCAGACGTCTAACTATTGGTTTAAGTAATCACCGGACCATTTATTACATGTAAAAGAATCAAACTATTGGTTTGATTATTTGACATGTTACAAAGACAGACGGTATTGACTCACTGAAAACTGTGGAAAATTTAATACATTTAAGACTCGGTGCCGATCTGAAAATAAATAGCCGAAACCTCAGACAGATCTGATCATAGGCTTTGCTCTTTATCATCGGTTTAGTAATTACGAAATATAGGTCAAGTCTAAATATATCTCAGCCAACCTCTTCGGAGAATATCAGGGTGCTTACATAAAGAAACAGGTTTCTGATACAGACAAATCTGTACGGGTCGGTTCCGATCGGCGCAGGTTTAATATTTCAATATAATGTAAATAGGTTATACAGTTGACACCTGTATGTAGTCGGCACTTATTTGTCGTGGTGCCTCGGAGGTTTAAGACTCTCGCTTCTCATGCAAGAGGACGGGTTCGAAACCTACCAACGGCAAGTACCAATGTGACGTTTTCCGAGTTATATGTAGGTACTTTCTAATATTATTTAGACACCGCTGACAAATGGTGAAGGAAAACATCGTGAGGAAACCTGGGCTTATCACTACATAGTATAAAACAAAGTCGCTATCCGCCGTCTGTCCCTATGTACGCTTAGACCTTTAAAACTACGCAACGGATTTTGATGCGGTTTTTTTTTAATAGATAAAGCGATTCTTATGTATATCACATGCATATTGGACCCGTGCGAAGCCGGGGCGGGTCGCTAGTAATTTATAATTATAAGTTTGAAATCGCCAAAACGCATTGAGCAAGCGTGGTGATTAATGCTCAAACCTTCTCCGTGTGAGAAAAGGCCTGTATAAAGGATCTGTATGTAAGCACCCTTAAACATATGGTGTACGTATGTAATTATATATTAGTAGTTATTCAGTCTTTGTGTAATAAAACTGGCAGTAATTAAATCATACAACACAATACTGTTTAATACTGTGAACTCAATCATTTTGGCGTTTCAAATATTGGTAATGTATATACATATATGTACATTCATGAATATATATACAATGAACGGTATGAATGTATGAATGTATACATGACAAAGCCTACACTTTGTTTGTTAAAGCTATTGACTGACGTTATTCTGTATACAATGTTTCAATAAATTAAATTCTGTGCCTGAATACTTTAGACAATATTGTCGGTTAATGAAATATTTTTGTTAAAACGTTTTAATAGTGAAGTTTATTATTTTTTGAGTACTGTTTTGTTTTCTGTTTTGTTTTCTCTAGCTATTAAAAATGACTTTAGACTGTAAAGAATGTAGTAACTATTAAACGTCATTTTTACTAATCTTCTTTATAATTTCGTTTGGATATGAATTGTGAACCTATTCCCAAACACCAGTCGCTGTTAATCAAAATTCCGCTTATGAGAAAAATATATTTTTTTCTATATAAAAACGTTGTCTCACACTAGGATTTTCTCCTGTGTCGTGGGCGCGTTTACACACATACAAGTTCACATACATATGACACCCAGACCCGAAACAACAATTTGTGAATCACACAAAGAGTTGCTCAGCAGCCGGTTGCCCATCCACCCCACCAAATATGCTGACTGCACTTTAACGTTAGCTAGTATTAAATCCCTGATATATGTGTACGAAAACAAAACTGCTTAGTTGCATTAATGTTTAGGGTTCCGTGTCCATATAGCTAAAAGGAAACTATGTTTGCATCCATATAGATAATAAATCCATAATATAAAATCCATATAGATAAAGTATTTCTATGTTTGCATCTGTTTATGTTGTAAATTGGTGAATCGTTACAGTTCACACATGATATCACACATAATTTTATTTATTTAATTTTTAAGATTAATTTAATTTGATTTATATTTCATATTCTATTGCAGTGTTTTCTTTTCCTCTAATTAATTTATTGCTAATTTATAAATGCAACTTAATTTGTTTTTTTTTCAGTCTTATTTTGCTTTTATTAATTTATTTTTAAAGAATGCTGTGCTCGCCTGTAATCGATTGTAACATTTTGCTGTTATCCGATGAAAATGTTTATTTAATGTACTAATGTATACAATTATCGATGGGTCAATATAGATAAAAACAAAAATGTACCTAATTTAATTGTCATCATAACAAGAAAAACTAAAAAAAGAATAAATATTTAAGAGAAAAAAATATATAACAAACATTCACCAATTAATAACACTGTTCCTTCTATTTTTCTCCCACAGATACTGGGTCTTCGGCGAGCAATTCTGCGACACCTGGGTAGCATGTGACGTCATGTGCTCAACTGCCTCCATTCTCAACCTGTGCGCAATCTCGCTCGACAGATACATACACATCAAAGACCCTTTGAGGTGAGAACCATTCGCATATACAACTATTCAGTGGTTTCAATCTTAGATAACAGATGGATGTCGCATTGAAAGGGTTAATTACCCACGGTGGGATAATTTGTTATAGTATTTTAAAGTTGTATACTGCAATGACTTTGTTGATGAGTATTTGTAGAGAAGGATCTTAGTTTGTTACATACTAAATTAATTATAATTTTTTCGACTTATGTAACGCCGCGTCGTGTGTCGCGGAATGTTGCTCATAAATGCGCCTCAAGCGCAGCTTGGAACTAGTCGTGTTTTAAAAATTAACTAAAAATCGCTGGCTACATACGTATTTGTTATAAAGATGTTTAGTGTCTGAGAATTTTAGATTACAGTTCTAGTTTTGACTTCTGTTTAAGATATTCTGGAATACTGTAACAAGAAGACAAAATTGGAACAGCCAGACGGTTGTTCTACGTGTGTGTCTGTAAAGTGAATATATATATTTTTTTCTTCTTGAATAGTGAATAGGGACGTCGTACCTACTTAAGTTTGAAATAATAATAGTCGAATGTCAATATCAATCCCTTACCACTTACTACTTTCATTTTTCTTTTCACTCCTTTGACTGGCATTTAAACGCTATTTTTGTTCAGTGGGACAAATATTTTTCAGCATTGTTTAGTCCACCATAAACACCAATTTCAATAAAAAACAAGAAAGCACTATCTTCCGACCCAGAAGCTAACACTATGTCACTAAAACAAAACAATATAAAATAATTACTTTCCAATACATAAACCTGAGTTAAATTAAATGATCCGATAGTGGACAGAGGCTTATTTCATGAGCAATAAGGATGAAAATTGTAAAGCAAAGTGTAGTTTGTGCGGTTAGCCGTTTGGTTATAAAATTGATATGTGGCTGAGAAATGGACCATTATTATTTGGTCTAGTGAGTGACAGTCGTTAATTTAATACTGATTCTGAAATAAGGTTATGTTATGTGATTACCTATTTACTAGTGAATTTGTTTAACATCGTCATTATGATCGATAAAAAAGGTTGTAGTTTCCATGCGTGTAGGTATAGGCAAGGACTTTGAAAAAGTCGGACTCAGTCTCTTGAAACAACGGCTGTGGCACCTGTGCCTTTAGCCAAACGCCACTTTAGCGCTTGTCTACTTGTCACTTTAGAAAGAGATTAGAAAACTTAATGTATGGGGATGACACTGACAAATGTTAAAATTTACGTCAATTCCATATAATTTGGTTTTCTATTCTACATGTAGACTAGTAAGCGCTAAATGGCATTTGGCTACAGCTGCTGTGCCTTTAGCCAAACGCCACTTTAACGCTTGTCTACAGAGAGAGTAGAAAACTAAATGTATGGAGATGACACTGACAAATATCAAAATTTACGTTAGTTCCATATAATTTGGTTTTCTATTCTACAAGTAGACAAGCGCTAGATGGCATTTGGGTACAGCTGCTGGTTACTATTGGCTATGTGCGCGACGGTGGCGATGCGTAGCATTTACAACATTTACGGATGCTGTCAAATAATAACAATGTAATCATTATAATTTTCTGTGCAAATATAAATAAAACCAAAGATTAAAATAGTATTGTTGACATTATTTAAGTGCAGTATATTCAATAGTTTTACTGTAAAATGAATATAATAATAAAAACCGGGTTTGCATCATCCGCATTTGTTTCCAATTACTGCCGTGTTGTGCGCTGCGGTCGTTATCTGTCCACCACTATTCGCTTTGCACATAGCCAATAGACTTACACGCAGAACATACACATATTAACACTTTTTATACGACTTCAAAAACGAGGTTCTCTATGTGACCTGTATATATGGTATGTATATAATGTTTGTGCATGACTATCTTATGCGATTATCTTACCGAGATTATATGGATGCGGTTAACAGAGATGTGTTTGTTACACTTGGTAGAAGGTATATTAATTAAACGCTTTCAAAAAAAGAGAGGTTGAAGCCAGTTTTTTTAAACGTAGTTTAAATTGCTGTTAGAATTAATAATAATAATAATATTCTTTATTGTACACCACATAAACATAAAGGACAACAAACAATTGATATAGTGCACAATGGGCGGTCTTATCGCACAAGGCGATCTCTTCCAGACAACCTTTGGATGGAGCTGTAATAGGAGACAGATATGGGTCGTCTAGTGTACAATTTAATGACTTTAAAATAATAATAATAATACCGTATAATAATATGTATATAAAATATATATATATATATACATATAAAAATAAATAAATATATATTATATTAATACCATTTGTCAGCTAGCAGAACTTGGATATTCTGCCTATAGGTTTTTAAAGGCTTCCCATATAGATAATATCGCCAAAAATAACGATTTGTAGGTAACCTTGAATAGGTTAATACAAAAAGGCTATAAAACCGTAAACTTTTAGCTTCAAATAGTCTTCGATCACGTAATAATGTCCCAAAAGCCCTGTATTCTCAGATTTCAATCATAATAAAACCTAAGCCTTTTTATTAACTAGATCTATTGTTAAACTAAAAGTATTAGTACACGCACATTGTTCTAGCTTTTTGTTTTATTACGAATATTATAATGATATTGAACATTACGATGTTCATTTTCTGAGAGGTATATTCATTTGACGTACAAAAGATATACACACCTACGTCACGTCTTGGGGTTGGTGATTTTAAACTTAAATATAATTAAAAATTATAAGACCAGATCCTAACGATATTTTCCTTCACCGTTTGTCAGTGGTACTTGCCGTTCCGTTGGTAGATTTTAAACCTGCAACCTCATGCATGAGGAGCGGGTTACCGGGGCTCCGGCTCGTGGCGCAGGAGAAAGAACGGCGTGGTTTTTAGTCAGTAAGAATTTGACAGTCCCTCCCGCCTCACCCAGGCGGGAGCAGCCATTCGATGATTTTACCCCCTTAAAATAAAAGCATGAAAAGCGAGCGTCTTAACCTCCATGCCAACACGACGCAGTCAATATCCAAGATGTTACAAAAAATAATAAATCCTATCATATTGACTGATCACTTGACTGCACGGTTGGTACGGTGGCTGGGCAACCGGCTGCAACGTGTCGAGGGTTCTATTCTTTTTCTATTCACGGAACAACACTTTATGTGATCCACAAATTGTTGTTTCGGGTCTGGGTGTCATGTGTATGTGAACTTGTATGTTTGTAAACGCACCCACGACACAGGCGATATTCCTACTATGGGGCAACATTTCTTTTTAAAAAAGTCTGTAACGTTATTTAATACTGAACCAAGTTACAAAGAACTTGGCCATTATAAAGTAATTCCAACTAAATGTATGCGTGAAAAAGAAAGCGAGAATTTCAATTAATTTCCTGAAAGAGTTTCCTACGAAATATATTAGGCTGCTATTACATGAAGTAACTCATATTTGCATTAAGTTGAGTAGGCTTTTGAGAATGTAGAGAGCTTGTTTAAGACTGAAGTTATAATAATGTTCATTAATATTTTCAGCAACAAAGTTGTAACTGCTCTGGTGTTATGGGTGCTGCTTACCCATAACACCAGACATAAGAGCAAGGGGTTAGATTCATTTTCGAATGGGCTAAAGGTTTTTGTTTTCGTTTTTTATTTATAACAATGAAATAAGGTATGCCTTAAACTAATACTTTTTAGAAACACATGCGTATTAGATTTATATATAACGTGTTTTTGAAAATATAATCATACAGTTAAATGTTGACTCAGACTGCCTCGTTGGCCAAGTAGTCGCAAGTGTGACTGCCGGGCAAGAGGTCTCGGGTTCGATTTCCGGGTTCGAAACTGTACAACTGTGGGTGTTACATTGTACAGTGGCATTAAGTGTCGTAATGTACACCCCTGCCTGCCCCTTCGGGGATAGGAGGCGTGATGTTTTGTATGTAGTTAGATGTCTGCTTATAATCATAAACGTATCAGTTTCAACAATTGACTATATCTAATTCGAGTTACAAACTTTCCATCAACTTAGTAAACTTCCTTTACTCAGCATACATCAAACAAATATTTGCTCAGTAAAGCAAGTTTACTATTATTCCTACAGCACATTTAAACTGTCAAACACCAAGCGGTCACCGGTGACCGCAACCTATTGTTCTTTAATTATGTCTATAAATACGGTACTCGACGAGTTAATCGATCAACCAGCTACTACGCCAACGCTTCTGTCAAAATAATAATTATTAAATACACAATATCTTGTCAAACTGAAATAATATTCCCAACTTGAGCCTTATAGCACTCAATTCAATAACTTGGGACGACGCGAAAGTGATACCGAACTCCTTTTGTCATTTCTTATCCTACATTCTCAGTATTGAAGCTCACAACGACAGTTTTGCAATTTTCGACAAATACTTTCACGCAACTTTGATCTCTGTTACGACATACTAGAAAAGAAAATTGCCTGAATATTTCTGTTCATGTTATAATATAAATTCTTTTGTTTCGTGACTATACATGCGTTCACAATTCAAATATTGTTTTAAGAATTGTTGGAATGTTTTGTTTTTTCTACAAAAGCTATTGTATTTTTATGCCAGAACGTATGTGACAGGTTATTTTTTTTATTGGAATATTATAGGTCGTTTAAAAAGAGTATGAATCAGTATAATGAAATATGAATGTTGAGATAGACTTTATGAGATAAAAAATCCTTTTTACCTTTGTGTTTATTTTATCATTTTGAAAAGGGTTGTCGAGCCAGATAAATGTAAATGAAGAACCCCATTTTTAATTTCCCAAAACAGAAAGTCATTATGATGAAAACAATCTTTTTCCTTATTATTTGAGAGGTAATTCAAATCTTCCTTTTGACGTTTTAACGAAAACTCGACATCATGACTTGCAATAATTAATTTCGTAATATAATCACATTGCTTGCCTCCGATTCTAAGATATTAAATCGTGCAATATTCTATATTTAATGACAATCAAATGGCATTTTTGTTTTTATTTTTTAACATTTGACACCTATATGTTGAAATTGACTGCCTCATTGGCCGAGTAGTCCCAAGTGCGACTGCAAGGGGTCTCGGGTTCGATTCCCGGGTCGGGCAAAGTATTAGGTACTGGGTTTTTAAAAATCTCAGTAGTAGCACGGAGTCTGGAAATGTGCCCGGTATATGGCAATAGGCTTACCCCATATTACATGGGTCTCATAACATAAATAGTGAAAAGTGGGTGTTACATTGTACAGTGGCATTAAGTGCCGAAATGTGCACCTCTGCCTACCCCTTCGGGAATAAAAAGGCGTGATGTTATGTTATGTTGTTGAAATTAATAACTCTCATTACTTTGTTATACATTATCAGGTCATTTGCCTAAATGTATTTTTTTTTGTCATATTTTCAAAGAAACGGCTATTACTCTTTCACTCAAAAATTACTCAACACATGATAGACAGATAGATTTTAATCTCGAATAATAAATACCTATAGGCCACTTTTTAACCTGCTACTATTGGCACAACCACTGACAAAAATGAGTTTTTCATAAACCATAAACCGAGTTCTTTTGTCACAGGTACGGACGCTGGGTAACTCGACGAGTGGCAGTGGCAACTATAGCCATGATCTGGCTCCTAGCTGGTCTGGTGAGCTTCCTACCCATATCGCTGGGGCTACACAGGCCTGATGAAGAGGCTCTGGCTACCCAGAAGCCGCCCAGATACCCCACGTGTGCTCTAGTGCTGACTCCGACTTATGCTGTCGTATCCAGCTGTATATCCTTCATACTGCCATGTATAGTGATGATAAGTATATACTGCAGGTATGTTTATAATCTTTTGTTATTATTTTGTACATTACAGTACTTCTTTTGGTTTTATTATTGCTCTGTAGTCGGGATTTTGTCCTGTGTCGTGTGTACGATACTGGACACTGTGCGTGAGTGTGAGCTCATACCTGATTTAGCACCGAAATGGTAATTTTTTATTTTTATTTATTTTATTTTTATTTTATTTATTTGGGAAAATTAACAATTATACACTATAATAATACATTATAACAAATATCAAAGAATAGAATAAATGTATAATCAACGACATTCTCCACAGAATACAAAAAAAAAAGTAGTTAAAAGAAGTCGTACAATTTAGGTAGGCACACTACATACATAAATTCACAAACAAAACTGATACAGTCATAAACTATAGTTTACAATGTGTCTAAATTATAAATTTTTACATCGGTAAAAAGGAAGCGATAACATAATTAATCAAATACAACAGTTAATGAATATGCATTGTATGTTTAAATGGATATATAAAAAAAAAAAAAAACACCTTAAAAAAATGTATCTATAAATTTAAGCGCATCGTAGTATTTTTAAGTGTGAGAGAGCCATGCTTCGGTACGAATGGGCCGGCTCGACCGGAGTTATACCACGGCCTCACAGAAAACCGATATGAAACTACGCTTGCGTTCTGTTTCGTCGTGTGAGTTAGGTACTGGAGGCCCAATAACCCCTCTCCCAATCTCCCCAATCCCCGAAACCCCAGTAATCCTCAAATTTCTAATCCCCAAAAGTACGGTAACGCAGATGAACACCTTTGCTGTTTCGGATATCCATGGGCGGCGCCGATTGCTTGCCATGAGATCCGTCTGATTGTTTACCGGCTTATTCGATAAAAACACACATAAAGAATTGTTGAAGGCGAGTGTTGAACCTCAAACACGTTATTCAGTAGGTCGCCATCTACCACGTCTTCAGTGGATTACAAAATTGTCCAAGTAATTTCACTATAACAAATAACAAACCTTGAGATAATCCAGTAATAAATAAATCACGGTCGATTTCTCAATCCGAAAATTACTCGGAGGGCATTACTCACGAAACTTCTTAAACGAACTTCGTAATATTATTTATTATAAAATAATAATGAATTCGAGGCAGCACCTCTACCTCCATTGTGTAAATAAATAATAGACGGGAAATATAACATTCACTGGAACATTTTCAATAAGATTTCGAAATATATTTTCAACGAAATAAAGCGTAGACACCAGCACGTCAAGCTACACCTAACTGTCAGTATTCTCCAATAGACTCTCGACTTTATTTTCTTAAACGATAAGGTTGGAATTCTATTGTCTAATCAAGGTTTGTACCCACTTCATTACAATTTCACTTGTCTTCGAGGAGTTGTCGCTTTTCTTGCCTACAAGTGCCTATACGTAAATGTGTATAGATATTTAATTTGGTATTGTTCTACTCTCGTATAGGCACGAATTGTCCTAGTTCTTCTCACTCAAGTTGACAAGGACTCATTTTGTCACGAACAAAGATTTATAACGAGTAAAGTACACAAAGTATACATGCCAGAGCCCAATAATTGAACGGTTTTAATGAGCCCTGTTCCACAAATCATCCTCTTTCGTTTGATATCTTAAGAAGATAGTTTAAGGAAATAAACATTATAATATTGTAAGGTCATTAATATCAAGAGATTCTAAATAAACCGTTTAAAAAAAGGTACCAGAGACCTACACAATTTTTACCACTTTTGTACGAAATTAAGCTATTACTTTTATCTTACTTTTAGCTACTTTATTTTTTACTTTATTTTAAAAAAGCTATTATTTATTTTAACAAGGCTCCATTAACATCCATATGTAAATCTATAAATAAACCAACCTCTTTTCATCAAAAAATAAAATACAAAACATAACTGGCCATTAAAAGACCAGCAACAAAAAAGAAAAAAAAATGGACAAGAACATTTTCAAATTCAGAATTCGGAATTTTCGCGCCAGTTCTTGTGAAGCTATTGAATGAAGGACTCATCAATCAATGTAGTATTCCTTTAGTATAAAACCAAAGGCTTAGGAAAACTTTGTAGTACAATCTATCATGATCTGTAAGGCTTATACGCTTAGTTTTTCCACTTACATACACATTGGTATTCATAAAATGTTGTCCCAGTTCTTTGGAATATTTTTCGGAAAATTTCTGAAAGATAATTTCGGTGTATGTTTTCTTTTAAATAAAAGGAAGTTTGCTATTAGTTTCCGAATGACTACATAACAACATAACATAACATCACGCCTTTTATCCCCGAAGGGGTAGGCGGAGGTGCACATTATACTACTGTACAATGTAACACCCAATTTTCACTATTCAGTATTTATATGAGTCCCATGTAAGAGGGGATGACTATATAACAATTTATATTTTTTCTCAAATGGGTTGGTTCTGGTGTATTCGTTTATTATTCGATCCTTTTTATGAACGAACACAACACTGAGAAAGCCTATAAAAAAAGATTTAACAATTCATAATTTACTGAACACTTAAAAATCTCAGCATAATTCCTCAATTAACTAAAATAGCAGATAGCTCTTAAAATTAACCGCGCAACCGAGTGTAATAAATAAAAATAAAATCCTACGTAACATTTTAATTACAGAAACAAAATACGGGTTTTATATCACAGAATTAAACCGGCTGAGCTCAACCCGACCTGAACTTAATACTTTAAGTATATAAGAAGCCTTGTAGAGAGTGGATTACTTGAAATCTTTCTTTCTTTTCAACTTCATTTGGGTGGGAAATGAGTTTAAACGAGTTTTTTTTTTTCGTAGAAAAATGTCAAGGTGTTATTTTGAGGAGTTTTTAAAAAGTGTTTTTTAGGACAATTAGTTAGAATAAAATGAGGAATTGTTTTAGACTTAAAATTGAATATTTTGCAATTGAAAAACCAATATAGGGCAATCAAGCTTAGTCCCAATTCTCCCGCTAAACATCACTGCACAAGTAAAGCGAAGATGCTTATTAATTACTAACAATATCTAAATCGCTTACAATGTCCTTCTAATTCGAAAAAATTGCATTTATCCGATTACAATTCAATTAAATCTCATAATCTCGTATAACTGGAAGAAATATTAAATAAATTTTTGGTGCTTAATAACTAATAGACAATGTAATACTTGAGTGTTATCAACACTCAAATATTACGTTGCATTGTTCTTCGCTCATACGGATGGCACGATGGCTAGGTAACAGGCTGCCTTGCAACGTCCAGCGGGTTTGATTCCTACATAGAGCAACTCTTTGTGTGATCCACAATTTGTTATTTCAGGTCTGGGTGTCATGTGCATGTGAACTTGTATGTTTCATTTCATTGAAAGAAAGAAGAAGAATTAATAGTCTGTAGCTTTCTCTCTACGGCGTCTTATAAAGATGATGGTTGTTATTTTCGTGTATAAGTGTAAAAGTATTCATTTAATAAAACTCTACAGTCCAGAAGATCTTATCTGATTTCATCTTTTATTTATAAAAACTATATAAGGGCACCGGTATCTTATCTTTTGGGAATCAATTCATACCATAGTGTAAACCATAGTTTATAAACTAGAAGTATATCAATGGTTCTACTACAATAACTTGAGAAGCATAAAATATTCTACTAAAGCATGCATCTTCGTTACTGCAGACATACGAGTACGTGCATATTCTGGGAATTTCACTTAAACTTTGCACTTGGTAAATAAATCATATCATGCAACTTGACTTTACTTGCATCGGAGTAACTCTTGAAAATACGAGTTCATAAAGTTACTCTTAAGGACTTGTGACTTCTCTGGCTGATTATCGTAACTTTTGACTGAGTCTTCATGGTCATATTTTTGTCCCTTTAAACGTCTCGCGGGTTCAATTTGCGCGCCGACCAAAAAAGTGACAATGGCATTTTCTAAGCAAAATGACCATTTTTTTTTCTTTTTTTGTTTTTTTTAAAAAACATTGTACCACAATTGGATTTTCTCCTGTGTCATGGGTGCGTTTACAAACATACAAGAATCATATACATATTACAAACAAACCCGGAACAACAATCTGTGGATCACGCAGAGAGTATTATTAAAACATTCGGAGTCAAGAAGTTCGGCGGTGTTTTATCCTCATGCCTTGGAAAGTCTAACTCTTGCGCTTGATCTATTCCCGGACATGTCGGTCTGCCGTCCTATCGGGTGAAGCAACATAAAGTGCACTTGTGTGCGTAGTAGGCTAGTCTAGTTAGACAGACTGGCCTCCATGATCGACATCCATCGGGGGAGATTTATTTAGACTATAAGCACTACACTAGAACTTTGACGTCTCTGTTTGGAAAATGGTTAACGGAAAGAGTTTTGGATTGCACTACACTACTGTTTTGCAAAATTTCAGTGGTAGTATACTTTAAAATATGTATTCTAGTATTTGATAATTTGACATAATTGGTTAAAGTGAGTATACTAAAACATCACTTTTTGGCAACTGTGATGTTAGGTACTCATATACTTAGTCAATTGTGTATATAATATTAGTCAAAAAGTTAAATAAATGAACATATGACAGCCAAAAAGGTATACAAATTAGCAAACATTGAACGAAACATTAAAACCAAATCTAATGAAAAAAATCAGCATACTGAAATAAACTCATGAAAACTCGTATTAAATACTCAACATTTTTCTGCTATCGTAAAATGATTCTTAAGGAATGTTACAAAAATATTAAATTAAATTGTTCATACCGTTCTTCTCAATACGGAGGCATGTCGCCTGAAGGCTTTCAAGATAAATTAGGTCCATGTACTAAAATGTAAGTACATTGAAACATAAACGGAGTTACGTAGTCTAGAGCAGTGGTTCTCAATCGGTGGTCCATGGAGCACTATTGGCCTGAAATAAACAAACTATGACATGACATACGAGATTCTTAGATATCTTACGTCAAGCTTTTACATAATCTGAATTGATCAGCTAAGAACTTATGGTCTTGCAAACTAAACGTGTATACAAAATTTCAGATCAATTAGTTAAAGATTTCTGCTTCAAAATTCATAGAATATTGTATTGTGTAATGTAGATATTTTATGTGAATTTTGTAATGTATGTATTGTTTTGTATTGCAATACACATTGCGATTAAAATAAAAATATAATATGAAATTTCTTGCTCGTTCTTGTCCATTCGAATCTACATTTTGGAATGAGCACCAAGCTTCGCTGACGGACAGACTGTCAGGCAATAATTAGTTTGATTTTTGTTGACGTTTCAAAAGTACCAAATCATGGTTTAATTTATATAAATGCTTTGACTTTGACTTTGAAAAGGTTCTAAAAATACACAACAGTACATCTCGGTTCAATAAATACCACGGAACTCGAATTAAACTTATGTCAATGTCAAAACTAACAACTGAGAGGTGCAATTGATTTCAATTATCCAAAAGTCACAATTCTTATAAATGACTGAGAATATCGTAGTTTGGGTCCACATGAAATAAGTTATACTAACTAATAGTGGTCCTATCTTACCAAGAATTATATAAAAGTGGTCCTTGATCAGGAAAAGGTTGGGAGCCTCTGGTCTAGTACTAATTAAAATAGGTTACAAATACCACAACTATGTATTAACTATGGAACTACATTCCGTTGGCAGATTTGGTGAATATTTGGCCTAGAATATAATTGTTACGTAATATATGATAAGTACTTTTAGTTGGTATGTAATTAAATGAACGGTTTTGTGTAATGTAATAATTAATAGATAAAGTATAATATAGTTAGTTGTCTAACATTACGGCACTTAATGCCACTGTACAATGTAAAACCATTTTTTAATATTTATGTTATAAGTCCTATTTAATAGGGGGTGAGCATTTTTCCATATACCGCGCACAATTCCAGACTACATGCTACCACTGAGAATTTCTTAAACCCAGTAATACTTTGCCCGACTCGGGAATCGAACCCGAGACCCCTTGACCGGCAGTCGCACTTGCGACTACTCGGCCAACAAGGCTGGCAGGCCAAATGTATAGTCTCTTCCCATTTATGTATGTGGAAGGGTAGTGTGGAACAATAATATAATCGACTGACAGTATTAGATTAGTAATATCGATTGTATTTGCTCGGAGTCCAAGGCAAGAATAGTGCTGGTGCAATGTTCAACGTCAGTCAATCTCCCCTCTTCTTCGACGGACATGACGTCACAATTAACTGTTGAAACGCGCCATCTTTATTCCTTTTATTCTTATTCCTTCGTTTTTTAGTTAGTCCAAGTCCCATACTAATCGCCTTTCCGAAATGTAGTATAATATTTCACCAAAATCTATTATTATTATATTGTTCTTACCTATATCGAATAAATAGCATAAATTGTATTGTTCTTTTATTTGATTATAGGAACAAAAGCTAGATAGATAAATACAGAACATTTTCATAATGAAAAGCCTTTTCATCATAAATCGATGTTTAGTTATTAACTTCATGTTAGCGAATATTGTGTACATTACACATAAAGCTATACACATCCAGTTTATCTTGGTCACTCTCTGTATGATTATTCCCCACATTCAACGGTCAGTTTATACTGGTTATTATTAGATGTGTAGTCGTGGTCGTGTATACAAATATTGAGTAGGCATTTCAATAATGTAGCTGAATATAGTGTGTTTTAAGTAATTAGTAAATACTCTTTGTATAAAGTTCTAATTAATACAAATTGATTGGTTGGTTAGTATTTTAATTTGATTAATTTTATAGTGTATACGAATACCACATTAGTGTTCACATAACATCACGCCTTTTATCTCCGAAAGGGTAGGCAGAGGTGCACATTATGCCACTGTACAACTTAACACCCACTTTTCACTATTTATGTTATGAGTCTCATGTAATGGGGGGTGAGCCTATTGCCATATACCGGGCACAATTCCAGACTCCGTGCTACCACTGAGAATTTTGTAAAAACCCTGTAATACTTTGCCCGACCCGGGAATCGAACCCGAGACCCCCCACTCGGCCAATAGTGTTACTAATTTATTAACAAATTTGGCTGCTACTGGCAGTACCAGTAGCAGCGCGACAGTCGCCGCGTCGCGGGTCGCGAAATGCTGCTCATGAATATGAGCCTCTAGCATGGCAATTCTTAAAAACGATTCTTAAAATTTATTTTCCAAAAGACTAATCGCTGGACAAATACTTACAAATAAATATTGTAGTTTCTTGTGAACCTTAAGTGCCCAATTTTAGTACATTTCTAGTGCACTAATAATAAATTCATCGTTCCTTAGGGAGTTGTAAACTCGTCTGACTTGTACTAAAATAAATAGTTATTACTTTATTAAATAAATAATTTGAACGACTATTGAAATATATGTATTTCGATTTGGTTTTATTGCAAATGAAATATTAAATATTTAATTTCGTTCAAAGGATTTATTGACGTAAATGTATATGAGAGAAAGTTTATATTTCAATTTCTTGTTATGAATAAAAATTCTAATGCTTGTTCAATCCCTTAGGAATATTTAGTAAAATCTAAGAGTATTTTCGAGAAATTTCAGACAATATAGGTACCTATGTATTACTTAACTCGATGTACGAACCGTTTGACTCCATGATTTGACAATGTCTTGACAATGCAGCTGCTAGATTATAAAATCAGTGGACTCAATTCCTGTTCCGAACATTTTATTTACACAATTTATTGTACACCATAAAAACATACATAGAAAAATAAACATAAAAAGAATGTGTACAATGGGCGGTCTTATCGTAGAATGCGATTTCTTACAGACAACCTTTGGATGGAGCCAGTAATCAGGAGTTGGAAAAAAGGGACTCGTCTAGTGTACAATAACAATTAAAGCATTTTAATTGGAACATTTCAATAATAATTACAATATTTTAATATTTGAATGATCTATGCGCAGTTACACTGGCTCTTGCTTTAGTTTATCTCGCGATTACGTACACAACAAACACAGGACAACATCCTAACATTAAAAAACTTCTATTAATTTTTATGGCAACAAAAATTAAATATGTGAACCACAAAGAAAGGTAAAGGGAGAAGTTTAAAGAAGTATTTTTTATTAACTTTATCTTCTTCCACAGGCTATACTGCTACGCCCAGAAACACGTGAAGTCTATCCGGGCCGTAACTCGAACGGTTCAAATGCCGGACAACCGAACGAAGTCGGTGCGAACGCGGGTCCATACACACGTACATTCGTCCCCCTACCATGTGTCTGACCATAAAGCGGCCATCACCGTCGGCATCATTATGGGAGTCTTCCTCCTATGCTGGGTGCCATTCTTCTGTGTCAATATCGTCGCTGCGTTTTGTAAAACGTGTATACCAGGTGAGCTTTTTGTAAGTTTTATTTTGTGTGACAATAAGTGGTAGGGGTGTCAGATGATTGTCGTCAATTTTAGCAATAATGATAGCTCTAAATATTACGTACAGGGAGCGCGAATGTGACTGGATCTGGTTATTAATTACAAACCTTTAGTTAACAGGTTTAGGATCTGACCCAAAAATCACGATCAAAAATTACTTTTGAATCTACATTTTGGAATGAGCACCTAGCTTCACTGACTGACAAACTATTATTTTTTTTGTATTTGTTGACGTTTCAAAAGTACATAAATTATGGTTTAATATAAATAAATATTTGACTTTGATTTTGAATAATTTGGAAAAGTAGTACATTAAACATCAGGTCGATTTTGAACCGACTTCAAAAAACGCAGGTTCTTAATTCAAATGGTACCTACATCTTTTATTTCTTTTTATCAAACGGCCAAGACTTTATTCAGAGCTTTGTTTTATTAAACAAAGCATTAAAAAGTTTTAAAACAATACTTAAAAAAAAACTGGATGAAAACTCCCCAAACTCTCTACCAATTGCAAAGAAAGTACTCGTACAAACCGGTTCACCTGCATTTTCATTAAACAAATCCTTTTGGAATAACATAATGAACCATTCCTCTATTTAAATATTAATTTCATGACACGATTCGTTTTAAAACGGTTCATAATACACCGTGGTTCACATTCAGATAAATTCATTTAATTAAACGTTCGTGAATAGTATATGTTAATATTATGAAGTGTGTTTATATTTTTTATGCTTATTGAGACATAAATAGCATAACTTTTGCGCTGCACCATAGGCTTTTTTGTGTGTTCCTACATTCTTGTTGTGTGTCGTAGCAAAATAAATGGTTTTTCTTGTTTTATTTCTTTCTTTCTTTCTTAGTATAAAAATCCTAACAGACACTAAAAAACTCGGGCATACCCACAAACTAGAACCAGCCACTAAGGATGGTGTGTCGTGCTGACCGCACGCTGACCGGCAGCGCTGACAGCCGAGATGTATTGTATGTACTTGGTGGTCAGCGCTGACCACCATGTGCGCTGATAGCTACGCGTCATTCTAAAACGCTTCCTAGAAGTTCATATATTTCGGCCATCAGCGCTGACGGTGCGTGTGCCGTCAGCGTCAGAATAAAACCAGCCTAAGAATGAATCTACATTTTAGAATGAGCACCTAGCTTCACTGACGGACTGACTGATAGACTATTATTTATTTTGTATTTATTGACGTTTCAAAAGTACCAAATTATGGTTTAATTGAAATAAATGCTTTGACTTTGAAGAGATTTGTACAGCAGGTTCCGTTTTTTGTTGAAACTATGCCAAGTGGAGATTATGGCAAGTCGTTTCTTCCTATTGTCTACTTATTTAATTTTATATTATGTTTTCGGTGATAATACAAAATTTAGAACCACGGATTTACAAAAAAAAAGAAACTTTTCGCTACACTACGATCTCCTGTGTCGTGGGTGCGTATACAAACATACAAGTTCACATACACATGACACTCAAAACCGGAACAACAATCTGTGGAACATCTAAAGGGTACTTCCGTGAGGGAATTGAAACCACTTTACGTTGCGCGGTAGCCGGTTGCCCAGCCACCGCGCCAACCGAAGTTTAATGTTGAACTTTAGGCTCGTGCTGTAATTATAATGAGGCCAATCAACCAAGGCAGGCATCGAGGCAGTACTGCCCAGCGAAATATGGATGTATTTTCCATCTTTAACAAGTACATAATATTAGGACTAAGTATACTAATTTACTTATGTCGATCCCCTCAAAAACAAAGACACATAAAATAAAACCTCATTTGCACATCATAAAACACTGCCAACCAACAAAAATGAACGAAACAAAAAAGAGTGTTACCACCATAATAAAAATAAAAAACTTGAAATGAGAACGTCCGCAATTTTTCACGAAGTCATTTATTTAAAGTTGGAACACAAATTCTTGTAATACGACGAGCAACACCGTGTACATCTAGTTAAAACTTTTGTTAACTAATTACTGTATTAATGAAGTGCCTAATGAGTATAATTAACTTGCTTTTTTTGTTTTTAAAAAGCTTTTCAGTCACCTCTAAGATTAACCTTTTTGCGGCTAAGTAGCGGACTTGAATGGGATTTATTTTATAACATGTGCCGTATAAATGGTCATAATGTTTTTTTAGGAAAATTTCCTCAGTTTTATTTTGTTGTGATATTTAATTTTAGCCTTTTTGTTTCTAAACCAGATATAGTTCCTTGGTTAAAAGGTTTTGGATATCGCTTTAATTGGTCTGGTTAGTGAAATGGCCGCAAGTCTGACAGCCGAACAAGGGGCCTCGGTTTCGATTCCCGAGTCGGACAAAGTATTAAAGTATACTGCCCAACGCGATAGTTACTAAAAGCTAATTCATTTATCCACTGGTTCCCACAACGAAATTCCAGTCTACGAATGGAAAGTTAATATCACCAAAATAATCAGTTTGTGTTGTGTATCTGTGGTCATAGTATAATCTATGGTGATAGTTTATCTATGAAGCGTGGCTGCGCCCGCGAATTTTTAAAAAGAGAAGACGCAATAGAACAGTATTTCAATAGCCTTTACTCGTTTTACTTGTATTTCGTGCCAAAAACAAATCTAATTAACAATTTATGATATAATATTACTGATACATAACCTCAAACATTTGATTAGCGTTAATAAATTCATGCAAAATATTAGTATTTAATACCGAATTCGGTACGTGTTGAATTAGAACACAAATTCAAGCACATTCGCTGATGATTTGATTAATAAATGTATTAGTTTGTGTTACAATATTTTAGGAATAGTAATTAGACTCGTTAGCTTCACAAATCGAAACCTTACTGTTTTGCTATAAAGCTTATTTTTCTGTAACACACGTTTCAAATTCATACTTTCGATTATGGATTTAAATGTCATATTTTTTATTTATTTTGCGTCTTCTATTCTAGTCATGTAGATAAAGACGCACACATTGAAATGAAAAGGGACTCTATTTTCTTAACCGTAAAGATTTAATTTCTAAACCTATTGCAATACACTGGCCACAATCCAATACTTCGTGATGAGTAAAAATTAATAGTTCACCTTGTCAGAAATCGTTTGTTTATTTATTTTTTCATTTAAATTATAATTCTTTAGTAAAACTGTTGAATAAGAATTGTATGCTTCGACATCGGCACTTATAGTTCGAAAATCAATCGTAAAAACAAATTAATAAAATATATTTTCAAGTATCCTTAGTTTTGCCACACGTGTACATTAGGTATAGTCAAATCAATTCTCAAGTTCAATACATCAAGTTTCATCGTCATGTCGACTTTTATCCTTTTAAAACTTCAACAACGGCTTTGTACTTCGGCTTTTTCGATAACAATGTTAAAGTGTTAAGCCGGGTATACACCGGGAGACAAATTTTATATGACACGTACCAGCGACATGAGAGAAAGAGTACTTGACAGGCTTTATAAGTTAATATCGCACCGGTAGGTACGCCAATAGTGACGTGAGACAAAGTCGTGTGACTTACAGCAGAATCGGCGATCTTAATCCAAATATTTTGGTTAGAGATCAGTTTTTGACATTAGTTGTATGTATTTTCTGTTAAACTTTAGATCGATACAAATATTTTGTAAAAAGAACATAAAATCACGCCTTTTATCCCCGAAGGGGTACGCAGAGGTGCACATTACGGCACTTAATTTTTTTCACTTTTTTCTTATGAGTCCCATGTAATAGAGGGTGAGCCTATTACATGGGATCCCTTGCCCGGCAGTCACACTTGCGACCACTCGGCCAACGAGGCAGTCGAATATAGATTGGAAGATCGATTACATTTATTTCCAGGGTTAGCGAAACATCGTCTAACTGGTCTTTTTATCGGTACTGACTACTGACGATACATGTTACTAGAGATTTAGAACCAAGTCCGCCACTTCAACGACACGATCGCGTCGTTGGACCTTTTATTTTGTTCTCAATATATCCCTAGCTTTATTGTCATGTACCTAAAATGATACACGAAACTTTGAAAGCAAGTTTAATAGACTTTGTCAGACACTTAAAATTCATGTTGAAATATGGTGAGACCTTGTAAATTTTTATTAACTTGTTATATATTCGGTTTAGATTTATTTATTTGCTTTTAATTTAATAGGAACAAGTTAAATGATTGGGTACCTACATATTTAAATGACGGCAAATAATCTTTATAAAAAAAATAAATTCCGTTCGTTAGTCCCGCTAAAACTCGAGAACGGCTGAACCGATTTTACTGATTTTGGTCTTGAAATGTTTGTGGAAGTCCAAAAATTATAATACGGTCAGAAAAAAACTTAGCTCGTACGAAGTTTGCCGGGTGAAGTAGTAGATAAATATTTCAGGAAACTAACCTATTTTCCCATGTGACTACACATTCGGAGATCACACTAGCTACAGAACTGATCTAGTTCTAGTATCAAACTAATTGAAACAATTTGTTACAGATCTGGCGTTCAAAATCCTGACATGGCTTGGATACTCAAACTCGGCGTTTAACCCTATAATATACTCGATATTCAACACAGGATTTCGGGAAGCATTCAAGAAGATATTGACGTCTAGGTACCCACCGTGTTGTGGCTACCAAAGTGTTAGGGCTAACACACCAACGAGAAATGATAACTTCGTAACTGACTACGGTACTAAGACTTTAGTGGTACGCCGGAGCGGGTCTCTTGGCTTATCAGGGGTAGATCCTACTCCAAGGTCATCAGCCGAGTCAGTTCGACCACTCAGAGAGTACCACATTTGACAAGAAGACGGCAACAGCAACAACGGGCTGCTGGATAAAAGCGACGTGGTTTGAACGCCCGAAGACTGGTATGGGATAAAAAATGTATTTACACAATGCATACAAAAGGCCGTCTCTATAAGGAACGCAAGCGACGCCCTTGACATCAATTTCTTTTGCTTTAACACCCCTAAAGGTGGATTTGGTCAGTCGTTGATCGACACTCGTCGGGTAAAGACGTCTTAAGAGTTCTGAGATGCATGTATAAAATTATTTAAGTCTTGAAAAATGCGCCGTCTTTTGTGTGAATTGTGATATTAATGTATGAAAACATTATTAAGATAAATCTTGCGAAGGTTTATTAATATTGGCGCTTTGAAGCCATTGAATTAGAATAGTTACGTGTCATAGCATTTTATGTCTATCATTACATTCGCATGTTCAAAAACATTCATGTCATTATTGTGTAAAAATATTTATATAGCAATGTAATAGAGATAGTGTATTAAAGAGATACAGTGCTACTTAATTAAAGAAAGGCATTTCTTAATATAGTGACGTAGTTTGTAGTAGAACAGTTTTGTTTGTTTCCTTCCTAGCCTGTTCTCAATAACAATTACTTGAACATTGTTAAATCGTCACAGTGAACTAATTGCAATAAAAAAAATTGGTTACCTGTAAAGACGGTATACGGGCGAAAGTTTAACGTGACAACGACTTTGAGTGGTAAAATCTTTTTATGTCTGTCTCTCTCGCTCTTAGGCGGGCTAACCATGCCCGAGTGGAAGGGACGCGTGCCTCTCACTCGCTCTCATTGTGAGCGCATAACGTGAGCGGAGCGTAACGCAGTTTCTTGAAGTGTCACCCGGCAAACCAATTTATAAGACGTTGTCACGTCAAAACTAATAATAATAAAGGAGTAACGAATTGCAATTACATAATGTAATCTTAATTTTTATAGTATGAAACTCTGTAATAAAAATCACAGATACATTTAATAAACACTGAAAAGTTACATTGGTAAACTGCCACCAGTAACATACACCAGTCTACATTTCAAGATGTACAGAGACAAAGTATGAAAGCCGCACAAGAAATACTTAATAACATACGTAAACATTTCGCGATTAAAATATATTATTATTCTGTATCTACTCTCAAATAGTCCATTTCCATAAAATAATAAAAACACGGTATGTAGAATGAATAAAACAATTACAATTCTAAACTTCATTATTGTAGATTTGTCCCTAATTAAAGCATAATTAATGGTTAACAAAATGACAAGAAAAAAGATTTTTCTTAATGAAAATTTTCTAATTATTTTCATAATTAGTTTCATATTTTACAAGTCTAACATGGTATCTGTGTTGTATTAGGTATTGTTCACACCAAACGTATTGTCAGTCGCTGACTGTGAGCGTGCATTGCGTAGTTTATCGCTTTTCAGTAATATCTTAATATCTCACACCGAACCGCTGACTATACGCTGTTACGTATTGCAGTGTTGGCATTGAACATACTTACAGTCGGCAGCGGACACTACGTTGTTGTACACGATGCCTTATTTCATTAAAATGTAGAGGAAAAAATACATTTGAATTAAGAAATCGAGGCTCACTAATTTGCTTTGTTTCTTTTGATTCAGTTATTACAATGAAATTAAAGAAATGGGCACATTTGGTTTCTTGAAAATTATATTTCACTGTTTCTTAGAAAAATCTCAATTGTTCATGTTCAAGTTTGTTTATGTAAATCACAAACACGCTACTGCTGAATGTGGTCCCATTTCAATATTGATAGAAAAGTAAGTAAGACATAATTAACATGGGGTATCAAAAACATTTTCAAAACGATTCTAGTCAACGTAACCATACAAATAACATAAACATAATTATTTATAAATCGTACCAAACTTCTTTAAAACAATTTAGAAATTATTAACATTTAATTTATTCTACCCGGCTAGTCAAAGATAAAAGATATTTACCCACCGTTTACATTTTTATTAATTTGCAAACTCCTGTGATACTTCTGTAAATAAATGTAAATGTAAAAAATGTTTTGTAAAATAATATTTAGGAATTAGGAAAGTATAAAATACAATATAATGGAGGTAAAATTATTATTAAAATATTTACCGGCACGTTCTTCTTTTAAATTATTGAAGCCGTTCTCGGTTCTGTTTTTCCAATCAAAGTTTTGGAGATTAAAGACATTTTTTACATTTTTATGTTAATTTAAATGAATAGCTTTGAAATAAAATTTTAATTTTAATGGCCGATTTGCTAGCCCTTTCAGACTGATTGCTTTATTATTACCCGCTTAGAATTAATTTACTTGGGTTGTAAACTTTTGAGTTACTCAGTAATATTGGTGACAGTAAGTTGTTTTTTTAATATGCCTTTTTATCTCAAATTGTGTATAATATTATCAAAATATTAGAACTTAGTTATATTGTAAATAATCATCGTTCACATTTAAACAAAATGTATAATAGAGTTTATGGCATTATATTTTAATAATAAGGTACAGATTAGTAAAAACTATAATTCAAATATTTATGCAAATTATTGAATTGAAAAATGTGATCTCTTAGAGGTCTTTATTAGATGTAATTATGTTTATGAAACAAAAAATACCTAGTACCTGTCATTTAGTAGATTCACAATCAACCTGCACTGTCATTGTATAAATGTATTATGTAGATTGCACTTTAAAATAACCCTAAGCTTCCAAAATACATCAAGACAAATAATGGTAGATATTATGCTTTCTTAAATTCAAACAAAAATATATAAAAATAAAAATTACATTTTAATTAACCAATAATTTATTAATTACATTTATTATTCCAAAATAAATGAAAATATATTTAATGTTGTAACTTGACAAAATCGTTAACTGGTTTTTAGTGAACTGAGATTAACACGTTAAACGCCATGGGGGTCACCGGTGACCGGCGTTAGCGGAGGATTTACCTTCAACAGTTTTTTTATTGGACGTCAAAGTCTTAAGAAAAACTATACAGAACTTAAACTGCGACGCGCTTCATCGAAAATTTTCGTGTCGCAGGCGTCGGTTTTCGCGGCTAGCGTTATGGCGGCCTCTCGCTGCTTGGACACCGCAGGCAACGCGCGTCTCACACGTGCGTATTGATGTTCGAGAAAAATCGTGAAGGTTCGTGAAGGTTCGAAAATCGCGTTGGCCGTGCGAAGATGCGGCGAGCGCGCATGCGCGAACGAAGCCTAGCTCGGTAATGTTCGGCTGTGTTCGGACGGCCGTGTGCCGGGAGCGCGGGAGCTGCTGGCTCTCACGTTACAATGTGTTATATAAAATGACAGAATTTATTTTAAAATTTACTCTAGTTTAATAAAATCTACCGCTATTTGTCAATGTTATAAAAAAAAACCAACAGAATAATGTAATACAAAAAATATATTATAAAATATTTCAATGAGACTTGGCTCACCTTTTAGCTTTTATTTCAAAGGACGTTGGAAAAAAAATATTTTATTGAGTACAACTTCAAAGGTTCCAGTCCATAGAGGGTAAATGTTCGTATTCCTCGAAATTGCTCAAATCAGGATATTCGTTTCGTCGTATACGACCTTATTGCTTTATATTGATTGCAGTCTACTGTCCTATTTGAAGAAAATATCGTTGCATTCTACATGAAACGTATTCTCTATTAGGATTCTATTTACTCGATTTTATAATATAAATAGCCTTTTATTTACAAGACTAAGCGCCGGTTTCACTACCTCCATAGGTACAAGTACCTAATGCACTTATGTGACAGATAGTTCATATAAATTAGGTTCTTAATTCGAATTTATCTGGTAGATAGTGGCTTTCCAGATATTGTGAAACAAGGTCTTAATCTTCTGCCTTTATCAAACGTGTTTCTATGGCAATAAACTTAAAATCTACAGTGTTTGCACCAGTTCTAAAAAACATTAAGAAAAGTTCAAATAATACGTATCACTAGGTGGAGCCATTAGCCTATCGACTCGATAATAATACTTTATACATTTTATTAATACTTTAATGTCATTTCTACTAAGAAAAAGAAATTATATCTCAGAATTACTTAGCCTAACAAATTAGATACACTATTACATTTCATTCGTACCAAATTTGTATACAATTTAATATCCAACGAAATTATATTAGGTAAATGAAAGCTGTAGGAGAATTTCCTTTCTGGACACTAATAAACTGACTAAATATGTTCTGAAATACTACAATCGTCCTTTTGTGTCAAAATTCATAGAAGTACTGAAATTAAATATAGACGCTCTCATTGAAATAATTTGAATATTATACCTACCTATTGGCCGACTTTGAAATATAACATCTAATAGGAAGAAAATAGGACACTATATTGAATTGACATTATATTGTAAGAAGCGTTGTAATCTAATATAATTTAATATATAGCTAAATCTCGCTTAGTTACAAAGGAAAAGAGAACAATAACACCACATGACGAAAATCTCCACTATTCCACACACAATCAGCAAAGAAGGAAAATACCAATTTTCAAAACTCAATTTCATGCCAATCACAATGTACTGAAGCTGAAATTTCGCAATAAACCTCATTTAACATCAATACTGTGTTTACTCATATTTGTAAAGCATGAAAATTGTGGGTCTTTCAAAAAGTTAATAACTATTTTACTAGCCGTCGCGTCGTTCAGTAACCCTAGTATGATTTTTTTTCATGTTAACGCGATCGATACGTTTATTGTGTTCGTTGCTCTGATTGGCTTGCTGTCAGTTAACCACCTAATCAGAAGGCTAAACATCATAAACGTGTCGACTACGTTAACTTAAAACAAGCTCACACTAGACCCTCTGGTGTAAATGTTTTGTCCTAAAATGTATGAAAATCTTCCAGTCAGCGTGAGTATAACACAAGGTAGAGACCTTTTACCAAAGTCGAGCTATTTTAGGTTATAAATACAATAGGCTCATAGTTTGTGACGAACTTAGTCGCTAATTGCACTTCAGGAT